ATTCCGGCCTCAAGGAACTAACTCTTGAAAACCTCGAGGTAACCGGCACCACGCTGCCGCCGCTTCTGGAAGCCACCGGACCGGATCTCAACACCTTGAGCCTTAGCAACGTGTCGTGGGCGACAGGGGATGCCTGGCTAGCAGAACTGCAGCAGTGGCTAAAGCCTGGACTCAAGATATTGCGTATTGCTCAGGCACACTCACTCAACTTTTCCTGCGAACAGGTCCGAGTCTTCCCGGCCCTAGTCACCTTAGACCTGTCTAACAACCCTGAATTGGGAGAGAGAGGACTGATCTCGGCTCTGTGTCCCAGCAAGTTTCCGACTCTCCAAGTTTTAGCACTGCGCAACGCAGGGATGGAGACACCCAGCGGTGTGTGCTCTGCACTGGCCGCAGCAAGTGTGCAGCTGGAAGGCCTGGACCTTAGTCACAATTCACTGCGGGATACTGCAGGCACTCCCGGGTGTGACTGGCCTCGCAAGCTAAACTCGCTCAATCTGTCTTTCGCTGGACTATGGCAGGGGCCCCAGGGACTTCCAACCAAACTCGAGGTGCTTGATCTCAGTTACAACCAGCTGGATAGGAAACCTAGGCCAGAGGAACTGCCCAAGGTGGATAAACTGTCGCTTGAAGGAAACCCCTTTTTAGATCCTGAACCCCACTCCGGGGAGTCAGACTCTGGTGTAGTGGCAGCCCCAGTGCATTTATCCCTGGCAGTGGGTGTGTTAGGAGCTTTGGCTGTGCTCCAGGGAGCTGGCCTTTTTGCCTAATGCCAAAGGAAGAAAAAGGAACATTTACCTTGTCCTGGCTTCTGAGGGTCCTGGTCAGGGTGATCAGAACTTCTTGACCAACAAATCCTCTGCCTTACAGTTATTAAAATCTTAAACCACAATGTAAGGGAAGAAAGACAGTCTAGACGGCTCAATGGGTAAAGGCCCCCAGGCTTGACACCTGATTTTGATCTTCAAGATCCACGCAGAGGGAAAGAACTCACTCCTGAAAGTTGTTCATCTGATCTCCACATAGTGCTGTGACACAGTTGTGAGTGGGTGTGGATGTGTATATACATACAAATGTGCTCACAAAATAAATATTTTTAAAATAACAATCTGTTAGTTTTGTTTGACTGGTTGGGTTTTGTTGTTTGTTTTTTGAGACAGTCTGGCTATGTAGCCCTGGCTGGCCTCAAACTCACAGAGATCTGCCTGCCTCTGCCTCTGAGTGCTGTGGTTAAAGGGTTGTGCCTCGAGCTCAGTTTAAATAATCATGAGTCCATGTCACTCACTCCATAGATCTTTACTGAGTATCTACAGCACATCAGGCTCAGTGCCAGAGGAGGACTTCATTCTTAGACTTTCTCCAACTCCCTAGAAACCCTACCTCCCCTCAAGAAAAGAATTGCAGGGTCGGAAGGAACAAAGGAACGGAGAAGTGGGAGACAATGAATTTGTAATGAGGGCTTTCTGAACAGATTGCTGGCACTTGGGTTCAAGGATAGTTAAATGGTAATTGTTGTGGTTTGAATGAGATTGGCCACCACAGCCTCATGTGTTTGAATATTTGATCCTTAGTGGTGAAACTGTGCAAAGGATTAGAAGGTGTGGACTTGTTAGAGGAGGTGTGTCACTGGGGGATAGGTTTTGAAGTTTCAAAAACCTAGGCCATTTTCAGTTAGCTCTCTGCCTTTGTGCTCTAGGATCTAGACATGAGATTTCATCTTGTTGGACATACCTGCTGCCACACTCCCTACCATGATAGTCACAGACTCTAACTGACCCTCTAAATTAGTGGTTCTCAACCCTCCTAATGCTGTGACCCTTTAATACAGTTCCTCATGCTGTGGTGATCCCCAGCCATAAAATTATTTTTGTTGCTACTGAATAACTGTAATTTTGCTACCATTATGAATCGTAATGTAAATATCTGTGTTTTCTGGTAGTCTTAAGTGACCCCCCATAAAAGGGTTGTTTGATCCCTAACTTTCAAGAGCCAAAGGTAATAAAACACAAGGCCATTTTCATTCTGTTTTGCTTTTTGTTTTTTGAGACAGGGTTTCTCTGTAGCTTTGGAGCCTGTCCTGGAACTTGCTCAGTAGACCAGGCTGGCCTCAAACTCACAGAGATCCATCTGTCTCTGCCTCCCGAGTGCTGGGACTAAGGCATGTGCCACCACCACCACCACCCAGCTAAGTTTTATTTCGTGAACAGTTGTTTGCTGAGCAACTTCGTAATGAGCACTGACCACCCTCAAGGAGCTGAATGCAGTGAATTCCGGGCTGACTGGTTTTCCTGTGTCTCTATTTAGACCCAGTCTCCTCTGGTCCACTCCAGCCTGCACAAAGTGGACCTCATTGTTCCCATCTGCCTGTCTCAGAAAGAAAGAGGGAGGGAGGGAAAGAAAGAAATTGAAGAAAAGAGAGAACCCCCCCCCAAATTGGGAGGGCCATCCAAGGGGGAAAGGCCATTGACTTTCCTTTGTCCAGGGCTTTTTTTTTTTTTTCTTTTAAAGAAATATTATTTAGGGGCTGGAGAGATGGCTCAGCAGTTAAGAGCAGTGACTGCTGTCCCAGAGAACCCTGGTTCAATTCCCAGAACCCACATATATGTCTGTAACGCCAAAATCTGACACCCTCAAACAGACATACATGCTGGCAAAACACCAATGAACATAAAAGAAAAATAAATATTTTTTAAAAAGAAAGAAATATTAGTGTGTATATGTTTTTGTGTATGTCATTTGTGTGCCATGCCAGTGGAAGACAGAAAAGGGTGTAGGATCTCAGAGCTGGAGTTACAAAAGGTTATGAGCCATCAAACATGGGGTCCTTCTTGGAATCAAACTTGTGTCCTCTGGAAGAGTAGCAATTTGCTCTTCACCACTGAGCCATCTCTCCAGTCCCATCTGGGACTGTTATAGAGTAATGGCAGACACTGGACAGCTGAAGTAATCTCTGTTACAACTGGTTAATTCTGTGATATCATAGGTCAAGCCTATGAAGAGTACAAACCATGTATATCCTTCTTGACCCAACCAGGATGATGGTCGTGTGTTGCTCACACACTACCCACCTAGTTAGGGATATTTGAAGCTTCTCTGTTCATCTCCAACTCAAGCTTTGGCTGAGTTGCTATCTGTCAGTCATTTGTTACTACCCTCTGACCTTGCAGTTAACTCAATTGCTGGTAATTGCACATTTACAGGCTCAGCCTGTAGCTTTATCGTGATAGAGAGTTTACTCTACCCAATCTTCAAGAGATGTGGCTGTAGTCTTTCTTGGTTACTTCATGTGTAGCACCTTGTCTAAGGAGCAGTCTCCTAGGTGGAAGCTTTTTATTAAGATGTCTTTACTTATCAATTTAGTCTGTTAACAATTAGTTGTATTAGAAGAAGAATATACAAAAGGCCAATTGTGCCTTACATATGTCCATCAAAGGCTTCAGAGTGAAGTAAGGTATGTGGGAGGAATATGGACTAGCCCAGATCCTTGTACTTCTTTTTTGTTTTGCTTTGTCTTTTTTTACATTTTGATAGTTTTTTAGGAGATAGAGGATGTTTTTCATACAGAACAGGCCTATGAGTACTTGATCCATTTCCTTGGAAGCAGGCTTGTGGTGTTCTATTAGCTGGGTGTTTCCCAGTTTTGTTGTCAGGACAGTTAGCAAGAAACCATAAATGTCCAGTTTACACTAGAATTCACAGTAGCAAATGACCACCCTTGGGAGTCCACCATCTTGATAGGGCTCCCCTTTCCCGGAATAGCTACTCTGCTGTAGGAGAAGGGGTCTTGTTTACCATGTCTGGCAAAGAAACATTACCTGGGAGGGGCACAAAATACTCCTCCACAACGTGATGGGAATTTCGTAGTAGTTCTTCAGTACAGTTGCCTTCTGCTACATTGTCAGATCTCAAGTAGACACATCTGTCTTCTAGTAAGGACTCCAGGGGCTCCACTCCGTCGGTGTCCAAGGCGTGCAGCTGGTCAGCGAAGGCAATGGCTTTCTCCAGCCGGGCCACCGCCTCGCGGCTGCCGAAGTTCACCAGCGCCAGACGCTCCAGATGCTCGATTTTGGCAGCAGGCACGCGGCCGGCGCCCTGTGAGGCAAGGCGTGGGCTGTGGGTCCCCTGCCTCACCTCCTGGACCTTTCCCTGTGGACCCGCTTTGGAAGCGAAGCCTCGGCCCCGGTCCAGGGGAACCGGAAAACGTACCCGCAGTGCCCGTGCCCACATTTCTTTTTTGTTTTGTTTTTTGAGACAGGGTTTCTCTGTGTAACTCTGGCTGTCCTGGAACTCATTTTGTAGACCAGGGTAGCCTCGAACTCGCAGAGATCCTCCTGCCTCTGCCTCCTGAGTTCTGGGATTAAAGGCACGTACCATCCCCGCCCAGCTGATCCTTGTCCTACTTATCTGTTTAGTTTGACTATTATACACCCTGTGACAAGCCCTCTTATTCATCTTTATTAGTGCTCTAAATTCTGCCATTTTAACCCTTAATCTTTCTCTCTATCCCAGCATCTATCCTCACTGTAAGGCATGTGAGCTTTCCGCATGGGCAGCTTTCCCCAAGCGGTGTTCCCTCACTACCCACAGAGAGCTAGCTGATGGGAGACACCCCTCATCCATGGGGACATAAAGTGGTCAAGCAACTGTGATACACAACATAGCTCAATGACACTAGGAGCCTCCGTATTCAGCTCTAAATCCCAGCCCCCACTGTGGTGCCTAAGTGAATCCCAGCGTCTACGTGAATCCCAGCAAGCGCTCCGCCAGTCTTTACTAGAACACTGATTGAAAGAGAGGAATGGGTGTAGGGCTGGGTGTTGCTACCACGAAGACACAGAAAACAATGTGAAATAGCACATACGCTAAGGTCGAACAAGAAAACTTTCCTAGCCAACTTTGGAGGTTAGACAGATTGGAGACTGTGTCCCGCTTACAGCGTCAACATCCATGATATATGTTTTTCTGGATGGCGCTCAGTAACCTAGAGAGGAAACGTGCTGATCTACAGTTGAAATGAGAGGTACAAGACATCCTGGAGAAAATCCAAGATTGAAAAACTTGAACTGACAGAGCAAGGCTGAGACACTCACCCTTGCCGGAGACAGAAGGAAGTGAAGAAAGGAAGGAAGGGGACGGGATTAGAGAAGTGAGGGTTCCACATGGCGCTTTGTGGCCAGATATCTGATGTGGGATGGCTTTTTTTCTGCTGAAGAGTGATATGTGGTCATTGGGCTTTTCTGAGCCAAAAGCTGATCCCTTCGCGCCTCTTCCTTCGCTTGTCTGACATCTGGAGAAAACACACCCTGGGTCTTGTTTTTGATGTCCAGAAGAAGAGTTTTACCTTGAACACAAATTCATTTTTTTTTTTTTGTTTACTTACTCAGTGTATTCCTTCCAACCTACACCCTCCAGCACCTTTTCTTTTTTTAATGTTTTATATATTTTTTTTCACATGTACATTGTTTTGCCTGTTTGAGGATGTCGGATCCATTGTAACTGGAGTTATAGACAGTTGTGAGCTGCCAAGTGGGTGCTGGGAATTGAACTCAGAACCTCTGGAAGAACAGTCAGTGCTCTTAACCTCTGAACCATCTCTCCAGACCCCAGCACCTTTTCTAATGCTCATTCTCCCAGATCACACAAAGATCTTTTTAAGTGGCTTAAAATCATATTCCATAAAGAACATCTGAGGCATAATTTAAATCTGTGGCAAAGCTTTTTGAGGCTTCGTTATAGAACCAGACAGCCCTCAAACTGGAAACCCTTCTGCTTCTACATCCTGAGTGCTAGGTATCATCACACCTAGCAAGGCATTTTCTTTCTTTTGATATTTAAGATATTTATTATTTCATCATCAAAAAGATTTTCGCCGGGTGTTGGTGGGGCATGCCTTTAATCCCAGCACTTGGGAGGCAGAGGCAGGCGAATCTCTGCCTGGTCTCCATAGCGAGTGCCAGGATAGACTCCAAAACTACACAGAGAAACCCTGTCTCGAAACCCCCCCCCAAAAAAAAAAGTTTTTCAATTAGCAGTAATCAAGCCTCAGATAAACCTAATTGGCTATGATACTGACACTGTGCAAAGCTAGCAAGGCATTTTCTTTTCTTTTTTGTTTTTGTTTTTCAAGACAGGGTTTCTCAGTGTAACAGCTCTGACTGTCCTGAAACTAGCTCTGTAGACCAGGCTGGCCTCAAACTCACAGAGATGCAATGCCTCTGCCTCCCAAGTGCTGAGACTGAAGGTGTGCGCCATCACTGCCCTACTAAATTTTTTTCTAAGATGTGGTATTGAATTGTATATAGTAAGCATGATATTGTGATATTTAGGAAAGAAAATAAACAAGTGGGGCAGAGAACTAGTGTCTTTTAATAAATATGAACACAGGAACCTTCAGCAAATACTGGCAAAACAAATACAGCAAAGAGAAAAGGAAGTATGTGTCTTGATTCAATTTATTCCTAGATACAAAGCTGGCTTAAATCTTCCTTTTTTCATGGTTTGTTTGTTTTGTTTTGAGACAGGCTCTCAAGTAGCCAAGAGTGGCCGTGAAGTCACTATGTCAGCTGGGGATGACATTGAATTTCTGGTTTTTTATTTTGTTTTGTTTTGTTTTTTGCCTCTGATTTCCAAGTGCTGGGATGATAGGCATGAACCATAATCCTCAGACTGGCTGGATTTCTTCAAACCACTGTACTACCCCACCTCAAAGGAAGAACTTTTTTCTCTGAGTATTTGAATAGATTCGTAAGAAAATTTTGACAAAATCCAACATCTTTCATGAGAAAAAAATTCAACAAAAGAAAAATTTAGGGACTTTCCTCTCATAGTAAAGGAGTGTACAGAAAAATGTCAGCTGAGACCGTATTTGATGATGAAAGACTAGTTGTTTTTGTCCTAAGATCATTAACAACACAAGGATGTATATTCCCAAGCCTCTAGTCAACAACTTACTAGAGGTTCTGGTCATGATAAATTCATCATGGAAAGCATGGCTTTGCCTCAAAAACAAAACAGAGCAGGCTGGGAAGATGGCTATGTGAGTGAAGTGTTTACTGACAAGCGTGGCGACCTGGACTCAGAGCCCCAGCACCCGAGGAAAAGCTGGGCTTGGCAGCAGATAGGTGTGACCTCAGCACTAGTGGTGGGGAGCAGAGGCAAGTGGGTCTGAGGGCTCACTGGCCACTCAGTCTAGCTGAAACAGTTAGCTCCCAGTTCATTGAGAGAACATGTCTCAAAACTAATGTGAAAACTTGGAGTTGGGTAGACAGCTTAGCAGTCAAGAGCAAGTGTTCTCTTGCAGGGGACCCAGGTTCACAACCCAGCACCCACATGGCTTCTCACAACCGTAAGTCACACCTTTCTGAGTGGGCCCTCTATGCCAGCTGAACTGATTTTCAAATATAGTATGAAGAAAGGATCCAACCTCATCCATCCATAGGAGGATAATCTAGGTGTCACTATACCATTAGTTGAGACTACAGTGGTTTCCATTTAATTCTATCAACACCATTTTCATAATCATTGTATATAGATAGACACATTGATTTATTTCTGGGCTCTCATTTATTTTATATTGATGTCTATCACTACCTTATGCTATTACCACATTATCTTGATGACAATTGCTTAAACAATAGGATTTGAAACTGGTAAGGATGAGTTTTCTAACTCAGTTCTTCTTTTTCCAAACATTTGTCTCCTTTCATGTTGACACCAGGCTGCACCCTGTTCCAAGTTGCTCTGTGTTGCGTAAAACAGTGGTTTTTCTGGCTGTACAAACAGCATTTGACTACATCCTATGGTCAAATACAGAGGCAGATGACACTGCACCTTTTGGGCACATAAACAATAATATCTGGTGGAACCTACGAGCCATAGACAGGATAATAACTCACCCATAAAGGGGTGCCACCTTGTAATGTATCAAAGTAACTTGGGCCAATGGATGTATTAAAATCTCAATAGAAAAACCAAAGCTGGGTGTGGCAGTCTAATCTTTAAAAAAAAAAAAGTCTAGTCTGGAAGAGAAAGATCTAATCTAAGAGACGTCTGATCTAAAACAGGAAGTCTTACATGAAAGCATCCTCTCTGTACACTGAGCACAGTGAATAAAGTAATTTTTGTCCTCATCAACCTTTTAAAGCATCTCATACAGGCAAAAATCATTCTTCTCGACCTACTGACTCAGAACACCACACAAAGGCACCAGGTATCGCTTGCTTCCCATAACTTGGGGTGCTGAAAGACATCCCTTTCAATGCCTGGTTGCTCCCAGAGAATGATCTCACACCTGGTCATCACCACATCTCACACATACACAGTGTTCTGAGTCAGAGACAGGAATGTCTTTCTTCAAAAAAGAAAAACACAGAATATGGGACAATGAGAGCTGTGTGTTTGGCTGAGCTAGGAGGAGTTAATTATGTTGGAAGTCTAAAGTACTGTACTACTGGCTGAATCATTTTTCTTAGAGGTCAGATCATTCCAAACAGGTTAAGCACACTGTATGTGAGCAGAATGAATACTTAGTTAAAAACGATCTTGAAGCACATTACTAACTTGGTTATAAGTTGAGTGAAAGTATGATTTGTAAAAGCGTTTCTCCTTTTAATCCCAGCACTTGGGCTGCAGAGATAGATGGATCTCTGTGTGAGTTCAAGGCCAGCCTGATCTACAGAGTGAGTTCCAGGACAGCTAGAACTGGTCTCAGGAGGGAAAAAGACATTTCTCAGGAAAAAGCATTCCCACACATTTTAGCATTATTCACAATAGCAAAAACTTGTAAAAGACCCAATCAATAGTTGAATGCATATGCAAAATGAATTTAATAGAATATTATCCAGCAATCAAAAACAATGGAGTTCTAATTGCAACTACAAAGATGAACCTTGGAAATAAATATGTAAAATGAAATAAGACACATACAAAAGGGCAAACATGCTGTGCCTCTATTTATATTAAACATTTAGAAGATAAATTATATAGTAAATAGTTTGAAGGTTACCAGAGTCTAGAAATAGGGTAGATGGGAATGTTATTGCTTGACAAAAACAGAGTTTCTGTTTGGAGTGGTGGAAAGCATCCTTAACAATGATGATGGAGCCGGGCCGTGGTGGCGCACGCCTTTAGTCCCAACACTCAGGGAGGCAGAGGCAGGCAGATCTCTGTGAGTTCGAGACCAGCCTGGTCTACAAGACCTAGTTCCAGGACAGTCTCCAAAGCCACAGAGAAACCCTGTCTTGAAACACACACCCCCTCAAAACAAACAAACAAACAAACAAACAAAAATGACGAAGGCTCCATGACATTGTGAAGTTAAATAAGATCACGTTTTACTGTATTGGCTCTTCACCTCAATATAAACACCAATTCAACATTAATTCATTCAAACATGATCAAATGGCAAATTTAATAGCATATGTTTACCGCAATAAAAAAAATCAGAAGATCTGAGTGTGGTGCTGCACACTTTTAATCCCAGCACTTGGGAGGCAGAGGCAGGGGGATCTCTGTGAGTCTGAGGCCAGCCTGGACTAAATGGTGAGTTCCAGGACATTTGAGATATCACTCAGGAAGACCCAGGGAAGTCAAGCTCATCCAAAGCTGCACAGTGAGTTCTAGGCCAGCTTGGGCTATATGATACTCTATCTGAAAACATAATAACAACAAAATCTCACAGGGCCAGGATATAGCTGGGTTGGTAGAGTGCTTGCCTAGAATGCTCTGGACTTGGTCCTTAGCACTATATAAACTAGACCTGGTGTCACATGCTTGTAACCCACAGGACTCAAGTGGTAAAAGGAAGAGAGTTAGGGGTTCAATTTATAAATTAGGCACAGGAGGAGCTGGAGAGATGGCTCAGTGGTTGGAAGCACTTGTTACTTGAAGGGTACCTGGGTTCAATTCCCAGCACCTATATGGTGATTCACAACCACCTGTAACTCCAGTTCCAGGGGAAATCTGTTCTGACCTCTGAGGACACTAAGCACTAGAGGGGTACACATATGTACATGGAGGCAAAACACACATAAAATAAAATGAATAACCCTGATTTTAAAATAAGGCACAGGAAGACACTATCAATGATGACTTGTTATAGAATAGAATAGAATAGAATAGAATAGAATAGAATAGTTGTGACAAACACAATTACTGTGCTTACAACATGGCTCTGACCAGTAAGTGGCTGAGAGGTAGCAGCGCATGGCGTCAAGATCCTGAGTGAAAGGATGAGTCACATCTGTCAGGACTAGATGAGGCAGCACCGAGTTTCATCAGGCTACTCAGAATGGGGTGCAATTGAGAACTTATGGATGATTTCTAGAATTTTCCATTTGCTGTTTCCTGACCACAGTTGACCTTAGGTGCCTGAAGCTATGAATAAGGGGAGACTTATGGGTATGACCTATGAAGAGAAGAAATAAAAGGAAGGAAAATGAGGAACTGTAATTCCTGGGTAGGTTGCCACAGTTTTAACCCTACCATGCAGGAGCAGCTATGCTCTGTGTGATTAGTCATTAGAAATAAAATTATAAGTGGAATTTAGAAGTTACTTATCCAACTCATGTGGACTTGGGTCACTTCATGTGTAGGAAAATTTAAACTTGGTGCTGGAGGATATGTCAGCTGACAGAGTACTCATCTTACAACACAAAGTTCCGAGTTCAACTCCTAATGCCCATGTAAAAACCAGGCATGATCACTGGAATCCCAGTGCTGGAGAGGCAGAGGCGGGTGGGTCGCTGGGGCTGGCTGCCTGGCCAACAAGAAAGCTAACTGGTGAGCTCCGGGACAGTGAAAGGCCCTGTCTTTAAGAAGATGGGCACATTCCTGACCCAAGGAACAGTGTTTCCATTCTCTGCCTCCACAGCCATTGGCACAACCTATACCTATGATCACACATATACATACTATTTAAAAAGCGAAATGATAAACAAATTAAAGCTAAGCATACAATTTGCTAATGACTAAAAAGATAGGAAAAAATGGACCCTAATGTTGTCTACTGGTTTGAGCCCCAGTCTTCAGTCTCAGGGTTTCACTGAAGGAACAAACTGGTGAAGCTGCTGGTTGAGTTACTTAGATG